AAGAATTTAAAAACAATCAACAGCCACACAGCTCGAGCGGGGATGGGAACTTGTCAGCCCCAGGCCTGTCGGCACAGCCAGGTTTTAAGGGCTTCTCCCCCCCCCTGGAGAATTCCCCAGGAGGATGTCGCCTTGTGTCAGGGGGTCCTGGTCCATCTGGAGCCCCAGTAGCTCCAACTGACCGTCTGGCACTTAAGCAGACGCCAGTCTCTTGGCCAAGGTCATTTCCACCATCGAGGCTGCCAGGCGTCCCTCTACCACTTGAATTTACAATTCGATGTGGTCGGCGTTCGCGTCCTGGTGTGAAAGGTTCCAAATCCCGCCGGCCTCCACCTCGGTTGCCCAGGTCCTCGAGTTTTTACAGCACAGTCTGGACCGTGGGCTCTTCCATAAAACCTTGCGGAGGCAGGCGGCTGCCCTTTCCTCGGTCTTAGCAGGAGAGAGTACTGGATCGTTAGCACAGTCGCCTTTGGTTAAACGCTTCCTGAAAGGGGCGGCGAACCTATGTCCCCCTCTGGTGCGCAGGTTCCCCTCGTGGGACCTTCCCCTGGTCCTTAGGGCTCTTACAGGGGCTCCATTCGAGCCGCTGAGGATGGTCCACCTCAGGTTCCTAACCCTGAAGGTCATTTTTATAGTGGCTGTCACTTCAGCCAGACGCATTTCTGAATTGGGTGCCCTGTCGTCTAAGGAGGATTTGTGTCAGTTCCATCAGGATAGGGTTGTCCTGAGGCTTGACCCCACCTTTCTCCTGAAGGTGCCCTTTTCCATAGGTCGCAGAAGGTTATCCTTCCCAATTTCTGTCCCTCTCCTTATCATGAGAGGGAGGTTCTCTGGCACCGTTTGGATGTACGCCGTGCCCTACACATCTACCTCAAACGTACATCCACATTTAGGTGGTAAGAGGCTTTGTTCCTGTCCTTTCAAGATAGGTCATTGGGGGCCAGGTGTCCTCCGCCACCATTGGCAGGTGGGTGAGGCAAGCCATCATGGAGGCTTACCAAGCCGTCTACTAGGTACCTCCACAGGGCATCACCCCCCACTCCACCAGGAGTGCGACCACCATGGCTGCCTGGACTACTAGGGCCCCACTGGAGGATATTTGTCAGGCAGCCACCTAGGCCTCCCTTTCTCCCTTTATTTGACACTATCACCTTGACTGCTTCGCTTCGGCGGATGCGCCCTTTGGTCGTAGGGTGCTCCAACAAGTGATGACCCCCCTCCTCCGGGGTCATCTTCCCGCCCTGGGACTTAGCTTGTGTATGTCCCTGTTGTAGCCCCTCCCACCGGAACTACAGGAGAAAGAACGTTGGTCCTTACCTGAATGTCTCTTCTCTGTAGTGTAGGTGGGAGGGGCTATGTTCCCACCCTAGGTAGTTAGAAGGGGTTGGAGTGGTCGGAAAATTTTTGGTTGTGTTTCTGTTCTTGTTGTCCTTCGTTTGGAATGTTGTTTTCCTTACATAATGCTATCAGCTGTTCCATTTGACCTCATGAAACTGGGAGCCAGGAGGGAAAGGAGGAAATGTTAAAGAAAAATCCCTGAGTCTCTGGACCAATCAGGCTTTATCAAACCCTGCTGTAGCCCCTCCCACCTACACTACAGAGAAGAGACGTTCAGGTAAGGACCAACGTGCGTTCTCATATCCAAGGAATTCCAGTTAAAATCAATGTAGTCACCCTAGCTAAACCAGTTACTTGGATTTAGGCCGATGTGCACTATTCATTGCTCAGAGAATGCTTACAGATTATTGGTATTTTCTGCTTAGCTGTTGCTAGACAGACCTTTCTGTCCTAATACCTGTTGAACTTTTCTCAGCTTTTAGAATATGGAGGGTAAGCCGAAGCCACTATTAGCTTTCTCTAGTCAAGCAAAATACTCCTAGATCAAATCAGCAAATTAGAAAATCTTCCTGATGACCCCTTATTGAATGATAAAGTTGCAGATTAGTTCTACCAGATTATAATGAAATGGTTATGTGTGGAGGAATGAAAAAACCAATTTTGCATAGTCAGGTTTTTCAAGATGGAATCCAATTATGACCTACTTTAGGTGTATGCTTTTATCATATTGTCATTTCCACAGATACAGTTGTGTAGTGGGATATAACTGTTTATGTATTTGCTATGAATGACTTGGTGTATTGTCATAACATAATAAAAATACACCTTAGATAAATTTCTGTGTATAAACTACTAGTTTAAGTTTAAAATTCTTTTAAATGTTGTCATAAAATTCTATTTAAAACTCGTACATAGCTCTTTCATCCTGAAATGATGTAAGCATTGAATGTAGTTCATTTTGGAGCTCTTCCTCTCATAACTCATGTATTCTTGTGTAAGAATTCCTTGTATTACATTGCATTTTCAATTTTATGTACACTGCAGAATTGGTGGGCGAACTTTAGGCTATTAATATTTTCAACTATATAAATCTTATATGTGATAAGGTATTTTTTTAAAGGAATATATCTATTTATCATATTGTTTATATGTATCTACCGGGATGTGGTCTCTTATACCACTAAATTAGAAGCTAATATTGTGCAAGTTTAATAGAAAACAAATGTTTATTTAAAATTTATATAATTATATAAGTAATCTCTTTTTTTTAAGGATGACAGCTAGGGTAAAAATACTTGGTAACATTTATTTGAATGCTCTGAAATATAGTTGCTAAAAATTGATATCTAAAGTTTTAGTCATAGAATATTCCTGCCAAAATAATATTTGCTTATAAAAATGTCCAATATAATGGCAACAAAGAAGACATTATTACTAATAGCAAAATACAGCATGCAAATTAAAAATGGGGAAACACATTTCATGCATATGTACAATGCTGAGGATAGCACTATTAAGTGTACGTACGTACGTACGTACATACATACATACATACGTGTGTGTGTGTGTTATGTCATGTGTTATGTCACAACCCCTGGTATGCCCAGATTATTTATTTATCTGCACAAATGCAACACAAACACACACACACACACACACACACACACACACAAACACATACACACACACACAGATGTATTTTATGCACACACTGACACACATTCACATTATGTTACATGGATTATCTTGATAATTTTAACTTTGTCAATAACCAAACCCCAATCTGCAGTTAATATTTGAATATATTTTAAGTTTTGTACATATTCCATCACATCTGTATTAGGGCACATTTTATGTTTGTGGGTCTAGTTATGTAGCTTAGTTTTTAACTACTTTTTTGTGTTATCTGAAATGGTTCTCAATTTGAGCTGTAAGCACCATCAATTCTTTTGTTTATAGAGAAGAATTTGAGTTCTTTATAATTGAACTCCCAATTTGAGTTTTTGTTTCAAAAATAGTGAGATGTTAGTTGTATTTTGATTTTTATCTTCTAGTTGCAGTTTGATTTTCTTCAGCCATGACTGTCATAATAATTTATGACCATGATGGGTCATAACAAATTGGGTATATTAAAGAATTTTTGATTTCCTTATGGACTATAGCATAACAATATCAGTCTAATTTGTGAACATTGTCCAATGGATATTTTTGAAGAAGTCGCATCCTGATTTCTGTAATTATGTGTCTCTTAAAAATACAGGATATTTTTTTTTTAAAGTGATTTTCTTTCTACTTTTACACTAATTTCTAAGTAATTAATTAGAAACACTGAAGCATTTGTCTGTTTTAGGGCAACTGCAATTTTGGCATATTTACCACAGGAGCTTCTAGGCACATCATGTTATGAATATTTTCATCAAGATGATATAGGACATCTAGCAGAATGTCATCGACAAGGTAAAATGTTATCTGTGGAGTAGCCAAATGATTCAGATTCCCCCCCCCCCGCCCCCCGGATAGAAAAATGATCTAGGAACCTTGAAAAAAAATTACCATTACCATTGTACATGTACGTACTACACACACGAAAATTGTACAAGCCTAATCCTTTCTGTCTCTTTTCAGTTTTACAGTCAAGAGAGAAAATCAGTACTAATTGTTACAAGTTTAAAGTCAAAGATGGATCTTTTCTTACACTGAGGAGTTGTTGGTTCAGTTTCATGAACCCTTGGACCAAAGAAGTAGAATATATTGTCTCAACAAACACAGTGGTTTCGTAAGTTTTTTTCTTTTCTTGTGGGGAAAAAAATACAGTTGACTGCCTTCCATGTATCAAAGAAGGGATACATCAAATATTAGTTTGTTAAATTTGGTAAGAATCCACAACAATTCATATGTTGCACAGTAATGAAGTTGACGGTAAAAAAATTAAGTATTTTGCTATGCTAAATAATTAGTTACATAAAATGATACATTTATGTTTCTTCTGAATCCCCAGTGCTAATACGCTTGATGGTGGAGATACATCTTTTCCACAACTAGCAGCTTCACCTCACAGCATGGATAGTGTACTTCAAGCAGGAGAAGGTAATTAGAAGACTATAACAAACTTCTTTGAATTTGTTTTATTGAACATAGTGCAATTTAAAATGCTTAATATTTAAAGCCCGCAACTGCATATTCCTTCTATATCACACTCAAGAAGCTGAAAAAATGTCAAGGAGGCGAAAATTTAAAGAGCTAAGAAATGTCAAGAACATTGATCAGTGAGGATGACAGCCCAAATTAATCCCTAATCCAAAAATAAACATAACAAATTATTTGGAGTATAAAGCGAAATGTCAGGATGCTGGGTGTTTCTCACCAAAATCCACATGCTATATTTGTATAATATCCATTTTATTTAGCACATGATGAAATTAAATGCATGGTGGATAGAACCATTATTTTAGATCTATATTAATTTTTATTTATATTCTAGTTTTATAATTTTTTGTACATAATTCAAGGTGATAAACATTATATATATATATATATATATATATATATATATATATA